TATGTACATTGCGTTAAGCACTTTAAATTGCCTTTGTATATCAAAATGTGTTATATAAATAAACTTGCCTTGCCTAGGGCCCAGCTGGTAATTCAGTCTTATACAAATGGTCTAATATTCAGTTCCAGAAACAACAGACTGTGATTTGTTTTTTAATTATCCAGCTTTCATTCCATTCAGACAGAAATTCATACAGTAAAGTTTTAGCAGGGACTTATTAGTTGCAGAAGGTTTTCTTATTCAATTCCTACATTAAGTTGGCTCCACTTTTACTCAGAAGTTTCTTCCCCATCTTCAGTGTGTACTGACAGTGATACTGACTTATTCATTAACCTTTGTCTGACAGAAGCTACATTCTTACACCCCTTCAGCACCTTATCTTTCCCTTTGTGGTGTTCCTGTTGGGGTGGGCACTGCCGAGGAGCTAAGGGATGGGAAGGCTGTCCTGCAGTGTCAAAGGTCCTGTCAAGGGCCACCCCTGTCCTATTCAGAAAAACGTCACCCAGCACATTCTTCACAGTGTTAAACATTCTCCCAAATTCTCAACATTTACTTATAATGGATGACTGCTCTCAGCCCAGCTATTGTGTGCTAAGTCGAATCTGACCAACCAACTTATGGTAAGTCATCTTGTCAATATAATCATGACATGGCCTCCAGATGCACCCTCACAATCCCATACTGACTCTCTATTATGGCTCAGTTTTGCTGTCAATCACAGTGTTTAGTCTGGCAAAGAGTTAGTGTGGGAAAGAGAAAGATTCAAATGGACGCAAGTTATGTATGTATTATAGTGATCTCCATGTGAGGTTGAGATGCTTACAGTGCTTTTATTGCAACAACATTTTCAGAGTCTTGAGCGCATGCTGGCTTTTTTGCGTTTTTTTTTTCATTTCTATGACAGTAGGTTTGTGTGTGAGAGAAATGTGGAATCACAAAGACAGTGTGCTGTGATTGCTTTGTTCAGGTGGTTTAAGGAGCCTGGGAGCAGAGCCAGGGGCCATGTTATAAATTAGCGTCTGACCCCTGTCTTTATGTCACCCCTAGGAAGACCTGATGAAGGCCCCTGCCTGAACCTCAGTGAGAACAGGCCTTGTGAAGTGGCTCTTTCAGGGGTGTCACTGCACGATGAATTGGCCAGGAGAAAGCATGTTTATAGACTCTGTAAAGGAGTGTGTCTTTGTGGGAGAATGTCACTGACACTGTTACAGTTTGCTTGAATGAACTGTGATGACGAGGCTAATGGGGCCCTTACCAAGACTGAGGGTCAGCAAGGGGGGCCTCCCAAGATCGGGAACCCCCACTCTCAGACTCCTTTCACACCCAGTAGCTGTAGCAAATGTTGCAATTCTTCGTTCCTTCAACAAAGGCTGAGAAAAAAGTCAACTTTCACACCAGTGGGTCACCATGAGTGCTTTAGGAAATGATCATGTAAACAGAGTGTTACCTTCTGACCTGTGGCTGATACAAAACAGCTAGAGTGAGGGTATTAGACATGGGTGTTAGCTGGATAAAGACAGCACAAGGAGTACACAAGTTCCCAAGCCTATAACAACTGCATTAACATTTGTGTATAGGCATTTTACTTCCATCCATTCAGGACAGGATAAACCGGCCACTAACCCTGTCTGAATAGAGCTGAGTCTTTTAGCACCACGATGTAAGGTCATTAATGACATCGGTCCCAGTTTGGGTATATTAACTACACACACAAACGCACACACCTACAGACAAACTCAAACATAGTCAGAGTTTGGCTAAAGGAACCATCGCTACTCAAATTTTAGACTGTTGTGGCTACTGAACCAGGGACCATGTGGTTTGAGGACCAGTTTAAGCTACTTAGAGATTGAGTGCAGGAAATGAACAAAATTCATTATGTAGGAGAAACATTTTCCTTTTATTTGAAGAGAAATTTAGACCCAGTGTTTGCCCCAGATTACTGTGAAAGGTGAAGAAGTGCACTCAGGTAAATTATGAGCCTCAATTTGAACGTAACTTTTACCCTGAAGATCTGAGAGTATCCACATGAAGTAAATTTGATCAACTTCACCTGTAGCTACATATACTGTTTCTTATGCATAAACCCAGGTGTCCCCACCTTGTTATTGCAATCTTCAACATATCGCCACGTCAACAGCCATGTACTTTGTCAATAATGTTTGACATCACTTTTATGAAACTATTGATCATTAGGTATTGTGAGTAAAGCTAAATTGATTACCTAATAATTTTTTTGATCAACTAAAATCATTTTTCAAACAAAATTGCCAAAGATAAGGTTCCAGTTTCTCAAAAGTAAGGATTTGCTGCTTTTCTTTGGGTTTTGAACCATTTTGAAGGTGTTCAGTTGTGATCTGGGAAATTTTGATCAATATTTTCTAATATGTTAAAAACCAATTCTTTATTTTATTACTGGAGAAAATAATTGTTGCAGACAGAATTGCAGCTATTAAAGCAAAATTTTATTGTATATTTGTGTATATAAAGTATCAATCTATCTATAGTATAGAATGATTCAAATAAAAAGTAAAAATGGTATATTTTATTTTAAAGTATTCATTTAATACTAAATAAATTAGATGTCCATTATATGGAACAGCCCTGGAAATTAATAACTTCATCATTCATAATCATTAAATATTTGGATTTTTTGGGGGGGCCCTGACTTGAAAACCTTATGGAATAGAATGCTGATTGAGTTTCTGTTTAATATAATGGGACATCAAAGTTACATATTATATTTAATATTAGTTGTATTTCCTGCATCTTACTCCAGTCGCCTTCACTCCTGTGCCACTCCCTCTCCCCACCTCACAGAGAAGAAATGGCCATGCTTTACTACAGCCAGCCAGCGCAAAGAGGCACCACTAAGAAGAGGCTTCTTCTGTCTTTACGACCCCATAAATATATTGTTATCTGGACCTTGGATGTCCACAGTCAGATTTATTTGCACAATTAGTGATGATAGTGAGTGAAGCATCCTGAATCATTAATTACACAAGACAGCCACCTTAATTCCTATCTTTGCTCTGTAGACAAGACATGTTTAAGTTGTTGATGAGGAACAGGAGTTAACTATAAGTCACTTAGGTGAGGTTTTTTTTTAAAGCACTGGGATGCTCATGCTGTAGCAAGGTACTGTAGATTAGGAAGCTGTCCGTGGTACAGGGGATCTGTACTCTGTGAATCCTCTGACAGTATACTCTCAGGGTTAAAAAGGAATTCATTCAGTGCATTAAAACATTCACAGGGCGAGAGACAATAAAATGTGCTGGATTTAAAAACCCAGAAGAGGCATCAAAAGAGTTCAAACAAGAGTCACTTTAGTTAACCTCGTACTGATGCAGAGTGTGTTGCAGCATGAATGGATGGAGTCCATGTTATGGTTCAACTTTATTTCCTGTTCTGAGAGCTTTTACTTTGGTTACCTTCTGCCCTGCGTCATCTCACCTGCCCCAGCTTTACCCCAGTATGAAATCACCATTCATTGTTTTCACCTGCTGCCCATTATCTCCTGCCCATATATACCTCCTCCTTTCCCTCAGTTTCTTGTTGGTCCATTGACATTACTCTGTCTATGTTTTTGCTTCTGTTGACACCATTTGAGTCTCCCTCAGCTCTATATCTGCCACTCACCTGTGTTCCTCGTTTCTGTCTGGTTTGTTCCTGACGATGCCCATATTACTTGCTGTGTGTTCTTGATCTGCCAACGATGCTGATCGACTCTGTCCCCTTAACTGTGAGTTCCTGCATCCCCCAGAAACGCTGGTGTGTCTCCTGTCCCACATTCCCTGCTGTGTGTTCTTAATCTGCCAGTGATACTGTTCGACTCTGTCTCTCAACGCTTGCTGTGTCCCCTGTCCTGTATTACCTGCTGTTGGTTCTTGACCTCCCAGTGACGCTGTCACTACTCCTGTCAAGCTCAGCGTACCTGTTTGTTCCTGAAGCTCCAGCCATGCTGACCATTTTCCAGCCTACTCAACTCCCCTGTTGCCCCTGGTGCTCCAGCCACACTGACCACCACCAGGAATTTCTCTGCCTGGCACAACCTACCTGTATGCTCCTGACTCCCCTGAGTACCCCCAGCACCACAGCTCCACCTTAGTTATTTTATAATAAAGACTTTCTAAGCTTCCTCCTAGTCCTGGTCTGCATTCTGGGTCCATCCCGAACCTGAATCCTAACAGTCCAAGTTCTTTAAGCCCAAAGACAAATCTACAGAGCTGTTTTGTTCTCCCTTTGACCAGTTCAATAAAGTCTGTTTTCGTTGCCATCAAATCATATTGTCAAAGGTTGTTAAGATTTATTCATTTAATTTTGATGTTGAGAAAAGGGAAAAACCACTTGAAAGCAGGTTACTTAAACCCCTCAGAAGCACACAGCAGACATGTCCCAGAAGATAGATAATCAGTTGCAGGGATGATGGTGCTACTGTGACAGATTACTGCACACAGGAAATTTCAAAGTGCTTAAGCACATCATGAAGTTTGTTTAATATGTGGTGTTCTAAAGGCAAATACAATTTTAGGACACCTAGAACATCTTCATAATAGGCTACATGTTCCTGAAAATTTGCATTTAAGAATGTTTCTATCATTTTCTCTATCTACTACAAAATAAATTATATAATAAAAGACCCCAAATATGTCAGGAAGCTTTATGGAAAAATGTCTGTTCTGCAAAGATGAAGCCTTGTTATTAAAATGTTCAGACCACCAGATGGTGCTGTGGTCCTCAGGAATTGAATACCCAGAGGTCAAGGAGATCATTAACAGCTTGAACTATTTTTGAGAACTAATTGTGTTTGTTTGCTAAGATAACAGTTTAGAGAATATTTCTTGTCCTTTTAAATGCCTGCTAACGATCTGAATTACTCTGACTTCTGATATTAATGTGTTGTAATGTTATTTTCTGATGCATTCATGCTGCCAGCATTCATCGACATTAGAATAGTTGTTGTCACTGCCAAGTTGTAATGTAGTTGTGATGTTTTTCAGAATCACGGACCAGCGCTATGAAAAGGTGCCCTATTTTGTGTTTGGAGACTTTAACTTTAGGCTGGACTCAAAGCAGGTCATTGAGGTGAGTGTTTTTGGATTACACCTAATGAATTAGTTATAGAAGACTAATTGTGTGTGCAGTATGTGTACATATACACTTTATTCTGAACTCACAGTAATATAAAGTTTGGGTGTGCGTGTGTTTGTCTGTATTACAGAGAGGCTGCAAAGTAGTAAAAGTGGTTTTCATAGCACACTGTCTTTAGAGTTATGACTCATTAAATAGTTCAGCTGGCCCAGCTGTGTTTGCCAACTGAGCCTCCAAGTGCATTGTTATGTTATGGTGCCATTCACTGCTCTTTCACTCTCCCTTCCTTCTCAATTTCTTCCATCTCCTTCTCCTTCTCTTCGTGCAAATGAGGCCAGTGAGAGCCAAGGTGGTGCAGTCATTCAGCATTCTCCATGAGGAGACCAGGGTTGGTTAGCAGCATAAGAGGTCATAAAGGCCCATCGCAGACAGCGGTGTCCTCTGATAACCGAGTGGGAGAGCCACTTGTAGGCTGATCCTCTCCTTCCTCTAGAGCACAATGATGCTTGAATCAGTGGGCCTGTTCAAGGTGTGGACATTGTTCATTTCAGAGTTCCATTCATGATAGAAGGGATAGAGGAGGGAAAGCTTTCTGAATGGAGGGGTTTTGCTCAAATGGCTTAAAACGCTCACAAGAAGATTGAAACCTTTTGTAGCTTAGTCATCTGGCCAGTAGAGGACTTGTCCCCTCTGTAATGACCAGCTAAGTGAAATGGATATCATATTTTTATTCTGCTACTATCATGGGCTTTGACTGATTTCCTCAAAGTATGGGCAGTTGATTTTGGTTCTGTAATTGGGTCACATTAACCCACTGATCATGTGAACATGTGTTGCTTTGGAGATAATAAATGCAAGTACAGAATCCAAAACAGCAGATGTGCAAACACTGAGGCTATTCAGAAGGCGATTATGGCAATTAAATGTCACCTGGCACACATTTAGGCTACCACCATGATTTTACTGTATATGTTCTCAGCATTGCTGTGATAAAATTTACTGTTTAACACAATTTTAAAAATACAACATTTTTCCTGTTACTTCATAAGAAAAATGTTTTTACCTGCTCTGGCAGGTAACATGGGTTACATGAAACTGAAAGGGATACTTCTAATCAAAGTACAGTAAGTCAAACGAGATGGATTGGAGCCTGCAGTTGTTTCTCCTGTACAGCTAGACTAGAGAACTCTCCCTTCACATCCAGTCTTGTCCACGACTTGCTCTGTGGTAGATGAGCACTCATTCTCTCCATGTCTACTGCTCAAATGCTGTTAGAGTGCAGTAAAGGTGATAACCCTTTTCCAGGGCTGTGTAGATATCCATTGGTGTGTGCCCATATCTGCCCCCTCTCCCCTCCACACAGCTCCTTTCTTATGCACCTTGGCACCTATACACATTCATATCCAGAGCGAATACACACACACACACAAACCATTTTGTTAGGCCAAATGAATCTCATTGATTTACTTCATTTAGAGGGGTATGGCAGCGATGCAGGGGGCCTTTTTAGACTTCCCCTCAAGAAGTTAGATTTGTGGGCTCTGGCGCACGCATACACACATACACCAAGAAATTTTTAAAATGAGGTTTCCTCAAATACACCAACCCTTTAACAGGGACAACAGAAAAGGCTGATAATGTCATTTGTGACAAATGTGCTATTAAAGGGGCAACATTTCTTCATATAAAGCCATCCTGTGTGGTGGTCAACCTATTTGACTTAACCTGTATGCTAGCGGCAAAGAGAGCTGTGATCTCACCAGTAAATAAATGCGTTGCAGCCTTGGTACGGGATGTAACTCACAGCCAGGAGGCCATTTCAAGCCCTTTATTGACAATTAATGTCAACAGGACAATTAGTGCACATCCAGCGAAGTGCTTAACTGTAGATGGGCTGGCGGTGGATCGATCATTCATACTTATCCACAGATTGATTCAGACAAATAGAGGCTTGCTCACATTCTCACCATTTGAGAATCTCATTTTTTGATTTTCTCACTTTCTCCACATTCAGTTAATTGCAAAGGGTGCCAAAAGGCTGCACTGATAAATAGATACTTTTGCTGTGTTAAATGAATGAAATAATTGCAAAACTAAACTACTTGCCTTTTTGATTTGTTGGACAGTGACAACCCTCAAATACCCATGAGGATCCCTAGGCCCCTCTTTGAGAGTCAGGGGATCAGAAAATACTCCATTACATGTCTGTACAGCTGCACGCTACATCACTTCTCTTCTTCTGTGTCTCTGGTTCATTGTGGGTGACTAGACTGTGAACAACCACAAGCCCCTCCCCTGTCACCCACCCTGCCTTGTGGGTGGGAGGATAGGATGAGGGTTATTTTAGGATGTATCCATGTGTGTACAGAAAAAGAGGTAGGTTGTGAAGGGGGTGGATTTGTTATTGTGATAGGGAAAGTTCCAGGTGGCAAATTCCTGGCATGCTTGTGCAGCAGAAACAGTAACCAAAGGCCTGCAGCTGCCCCCCTTCTGTCCGGCCAGGGCAACCCCATTAATTGTGTCCGACAGAGGGAATTGGTTTCAATTGACCCCCATTGAGCAGCCCTTTGACTGGCAGACAAAGGACACAGCCACGTGGAGACTAATGCTAGGACTGAGCAGCCTGGAGGTGGTCCAGTCCCCATCAACATTTCCTCTGCTCTCCCATGACTTGATCATGTTGTGGCTTGATCGTGATTTGCATGAGTGCTGGTAAAACAGGAAACTGCAAAGGAATGGTTTTGAAGTTTTTGTCTGGGAGATTTGATTCTTCACAGTCCACTTCTTGATGTGCTGCCTGTGATCTCAGCACCACACCGAGCACTCGTGTCATATTCAGGCCAGTACTGATGAACTAATGAAAGATACAGTGCATGTTCCAGATTGGTCCCCAACCCCCCACTTCCTCTCCACTAACTGTCCCACCCTGAGACCCAATTCTGAAGTTTTCAAAGAGGGTCCAAAAACCTGTGTTAGACAGTTGACACCCCAAAGTAATCTGCTGAGTGTAAACAGGTAAAAACTGACTGGGTTTACTGAGAATGAGACTGAATGTGTTCAACCCTTGTTTTATATTCTGTTCTACACATAACACCTAAACTTCAAATTTTCAGAAAGAAAGAAAGTCACTTTCGGCTTTTCCCATTTAGGGGTCGCCACAGCGAAATGTCACACTGTCACATGTTGACATTTGGCACATGTTTTACGCCGGATGCCCTTCCTGACGCAACCCTGATTCGAACCCAGGCCGCAGCAGCAAGAGCACTGCGCCTTAACCACTAAACCTTGTATAATTATACATTAAACAGGTTGTCAACATTGCAGTTTTGGAGTGTCTGGTAATTTAGTATGAACAGTGTGGTCCAATGTCTGACTAATGTGTGACAACTTCCTTCCAGTATAATACCATCCAAAACCGCACACCCCAGCTAAGCTAAAAATGTTTGAGTGTATTCTGGACCTCTCTTTCTCCCCCACTAAATTCTGTGTTTTTCTTAGTCTCTCTTTTAAAAGTAAGTGTGAAAGTATTTTAGCAGACAAGCTAATGTGACAGAGGCACTTGCTTTTTAGCAAAAAGTCCCAAAACTCTCTCCATCATTGGAAAGCAGCATCTGTGTTTACCCAGGTCTTCAATTTTGCCTAATCATGCTCAAATTTTTGCTCTTATGACCTTCTTCACATTTTAGTTGTGCAGGTTGTACATGGAAGCGGCAGAATTGGTATTGTCTTCCTCTTGGCTTCTGAACTCTAGCGTACCAGCTATATCAGCCCTTTCACTCCCCCCTCTCCTTTCTGTTGTGCACAAGCAAGAGCTCCTTGTGCCGAAGGGCTGTAATTTCTCAATCCCACTCAGATCCTTCTTTCCCCATTTACAGAGCCAGGGCTGGCACACAAGGTATTCCGAGTGCACACTGGATGGACTGAAAGGGGAATGTGAGGAAAATTTAGCTGAATTTGACAAAATAAGTAAAGAATTAGAATTGTGGACTACAGTACACCTAAAACTGGTCATGTAGTCAGTTACAGAGATTTTGTATAAACTTCTAAATCCTTAAATAAAACTGTTATTCCTTATCCAACTTTGTACACAGCTACACTGTCACTGATGACAAGTCGGAGCAGAACTCTTTCCAGATCAGACAGGTGATTTGCAAAATGTCTAACACAAACCGTTAGCATTGCTAGTACTGTGTCACTTGTGAAGGTCCCCTGGCTCTTTTACCTGTTTTGTGTCTTGTCTCTTCTGCAGCAAGAAGGAGGCTCAGCTAGTTAGGCCAGTTAGAAGCACCTGGGACTCCACCCATCATCATTCCTTTGGGGGCTCTCTTCTCTATTATTTGTTAATATTTTGTTTTGGTTAAAATATAAATAACTTTTTTTTTTCATCCTGCATCCTCCTCATTTTGTTGTGGCCTCAGAGCTGTGTCATGACATTTAGTAGGTTATGATAATAATCCTCAGTCATGAGGATTGACCAATGCACACCAATGGCAAACAGGGTTTTCTTGGTTCCATGATTCAGTCAGAAGGTGGCATAAGGTGTATAGCAGTGTGTATGAGAGAATGTGTGCATGTCCCTCAAGGTGGTTGATGGCCGTGAATCAGCAGTGTACATGACAGGCTCATGGCTCTGTGCCTGGACTCCTAGTATATTTAAAATCCTTCCCAATTAAACTTAATACAATGTAAATTTAATATCTGCAGAGATTGTGTGTTGCTGGCTGGCCCGCTCCAATTTAAGGATTGATAGAGGCCAGTGGGAAGGTTAATTGCCAACTTGATCTACTGTTCCTGTGACATGTTGTGGGGATGTTTTAATTGGGCTTGATCTGCTGCTACATGGACATATTTCATTAAGCTAGCAGGCCTCTCTCTAACTGAGTGGGAGGTTTGCATCAGCACCCCTTTCTGCATCTGCAGGAAGTGCAGAGGGCCAGACCAGGCATCAATCTTCCTTCCTTTGTCTTGTGTCCTTTCTCTTGCTTGAACAGCAT